TGCAGAGTCCGCTCCTCTCCGCTCCCTCCATCCTCCTCCTCTCGCTCCCTCTCTCTCTCTCCGTCCTCCTTCTCTCCAGCATGATTTTCATTAAAAACTGTCAGTGCGGGTTTTTGCTGCGGAGCCGCGGATCTTCCTCCTCTTCCTCCACCTCCTCCTCCTCCTCCTCCTCCTCCTCCTGCGGGCTGCTCCGATCGACGGTGAAAACCAACACCAAGAGGATGCGGATGTTGACCAAGACAACATAGTCTATTAATATTTCAGACCTACTGCAAAGCGATATTAGAATTAAAGCCAAGTTGCGGTGAGGACGCTCCACCTCCTGTTCTCCAACTCAGCGCAGGTACGGTTTCATTTGACGTCTCCATCTTTGTGTTTAGACTGAATTCATGTGTTCATGTGAATATGTGAATGTGTGAAACCTTCATGTGACCGGACTGTACTTGATGCATGAGTGAGACCTGACGTGCTCGCACAGAAGCAGCGCAGCCGCAACGCAAACTTGATGTATGCGGTAAAAATACAGCAGATGCAGCTGCTGCGTGATTCTGCTGCTGCTGACAAACAGGAAGCTCTGCAGAGGACGAGCAGCAGAATGAATGAGAGACACCAGACTGATGGTTTTGTTTGTTCCAGGTCAGATGAAGCTGTGAGGGGAAGATGTTGAGCTCGGAGATGATGGAGATGATGGAGATGGAGACGGAGGCTTTGCACAGCTCCTGGTCTCTTTAGGAGCTTCTACACTCCATCCTGCCCCACCTCCCTCCCCACTTCCTCACACCACTTCCTCTTCCTGTCTGTCCCACCCCCCCAGGAAAGATGACTGTGGTGTCCACAGACAACATGGATGAGACCTCCACCCTCCCGGGTCATCCACAGGACCCGTACCCGCCCGATGACGACCACGATGACCACGACTGCTGCGAGCGGGTTGTCATCAACATCTCGGGACTGCGCTTCGAGACGCAGCTCAAAACCCTCGCCCAGTTCCCGGAAACCCTCCTCGGGAACCCTAAGAAGAGGATGCGCTACTTCGACCCCTTAAGAAACGAGTATTTCTTTGACCGGAACCGACCAAGCTTTGACGCCATCTTGTATTATTACCAATCCGGGGGAAGGCTGAGAAGACCGGTCAACGTGCCTCTGGATATGTTCTCGGAGGAGATTAAATTCTACGAACTCGGCGCAGAGGCTATGGAGAAATTTCGGGAGGACGAGGGGTTTATTCGAGAAGAGGAGCGACCCCTGCCGGAGAAGGAGTTCCAGCGGCAGATCTGGCTCCTCTTCGAGCATCCGGAGAGTTCTGGACCGGCCCGGGGGATCGCCATCGTCTCTGTGATGGTTATCCTTATTTCAATAGTCATCTTTTGTTTGGAGACACTACCGGAGTTGAAGGAGGACGCCAGCGGCCGGATGCAGGTGGTAGGAAACACGACCGTATTTTATAAACCCAACGTGCTCACGGACCCTTTCTTTGTGGTGGAGACGCTGTGCATCATCTGGTTTTCCTTTGAGTTGATAGTTCGGTTTTTCGCTTGCCCCAGCAAAGCGGCGTTCTTTAAAAACATGATGAACTCTATTGACATTGTGGCTATAATCCCGTACTTCATCACACTTGGCACAGAGCTGGCTGACGACCAAGAGAACAAGGAGGGTAAAGGAGGAGGGGAGCAGGCCACATCTCTGGCTATTCTCAGGGTGATCCGTCTGGTGAGGGTGTTCAGGATCTTTAAATTGTCCCGACACTCGAAGGGGCTCCAGATTCTGGGGCAAACTCTGAAGGCGAGCATGCGGGAGCTGGGCTTGCTCATTTTCTTCCTCTTTATTGGCGTGATTTTGTTCTCCAGCGCCGTGTACTTTGCAGAGGCCGAGGAGAAGGAGTCGTTCTTCACCAGTATCCCGGATGCTTTCTGGTGGGCGGTGGTGTCTATGACGACCGTCGGCTATGGGGACATGTACCCCGTGACCATCGGCGGGAAGATCGTGGGCTCGCTGTGCGCCATCGCCGGTGTGCTCACCATCGCACTGCCGGTACCGGTCATCGTGTCCAACTTCAACTACTTCTACCACCGGGAGACGGAGGGCGAGGAACAGGCCCAGCTGCTCAACGTTAGCAACCAGAACCTGGCGTCGGACACCAACTCGAGTCGCCGCAGCTCCTCGGGGGTCAGCAAGTCAGAGTATATGGAGATAGACGAGGACATGAACAACAGCATCGATAACTTTAGGGAAGCGAACCTTAGAACTGCCAACTGCACGGCTCCGAGCCAGAACTGTGTGAACAAGGGGAAACTTCTCACCGACGTGTGAGGCAGCGTCTGACGCACCAGTGTAAATATTGTAGAAATATCTGGATGCTTTATCTCCATTGGTGCATTTTATTCTCTTCTTTTGCATAGATACATTCAAACATGTGTGAAGACTCATAGTTTAAAGGCTCACATGGTAAATTTGTACAAGTGATTTCATCCAAAAAAATAAACTAACAAGGGATTAGTTTGGCAATAGGACAAAGATCGGCAGGTGTCAGGGAAGATTTTTGATAAATGATTCTATTTATTTGAAATCCTTAATTCTGCCCGTAGAATTAAAGCTGAACAACATATGTTGCACAGAAAGGAGCGGCTGGTTAGTTTCCATGATCTCCAGAGTTCTGCAGCGTTGTCTTCGTCAGTCTTAAGAAAATAACCCTGATGACGTCATGTGACCTTGACCAGGGACAGGGTATTTTTGGCCACGTTGCACGTGGACTTACTTTAGTTTGAGTGTTTGAATACAACCTGGTGTTAGCGTCAAAGTCTCAGTTTCCTTTTCTCCGCAGCTATTTGTGGAAACAGCTAGATGCACAAAAAGGAGCAGAATAAATCATTTAAGAAACAAGCTCGAGTAAACTTGAAGGAACCAATTCAGACAAGATAATGCAAGTGTATCTGTGCACAGCCTCTTAACAAGAAGACGATTATTTCAAAGTGCTTTATATGAGACAAAAAAGACTTAAAGACCAGAGACAACCGAGACAAAGTGACAGAAAAAAACACAAACAGGGTTTAAAAACAGACGACTACAAGATAAAAGTAAGTTAATGTGATTCAGAAATGAGAAAAAGTAAATGTTTGACCAAAGTGAGGAAGAGAATCAGAATCTTCAGAGTACGATGAATTGAGTTTATCAGAAAATCTCCTCCACACCTTCCTGGCTTTGTACCACGGACTCAACCTTTAAGATCAAAAGACAAGTCAACAAAACAAAGCCCAGCTGAGATTTGAGGAACGTGTCGGAGGACGGCTCCCCGAGGAATCACATTTCACTGGATTACAGCTGACTCATCCAGGGAAGGGTTTCTGGGGGAAAACTTGACTCCAGATGTTGAGTGAAGTTTTTCAGGCACCTTATCAGACACAAAAGAAGACGTGTGCCGAGCTCGTGGAGGATTATGTGCACTGCTGCTACAGGTCGGCTGGAGGTTCCCTGTATGATGCCATGCAACACTCCTTTATATAAAAGCATGTGGAGACTCTCTTCTCTCTTATATCAGCATGCACAAGATGTTACCTCATTTTTATTTTTACAGTCCTTTCTCTCTTCTTTGACCTTCATCTTCTCCTTTTTTGGATTTTTTCTCTCATTTGTTTTCACCAAAAGTGCACTGCTATTTATTATTGTTTAATTTATTTCGAGGCATTTACGTGTTGAATGTTAAAAATCATTATGGGAACAGGAACACTTCTTTTTCGAAGATCACGGCATGTCAAAATACTAAAGCATTATGGCCTAATTAGCTATGGTATAGCTACGTATACTCAATGCATGATGTCAGTATTTAATTGCTTGCAGTTGTGGAGGGACCTCGGGAGCTGGTGGACGATCCTCCTCCTCACTATTGTCAAGCTAACAACAGGATATGGTGCATGACGGAGCTAAAGGCCGGACGGGACAAACAAAAAGAGAAAAAACAAGAAAAAAAAATCACAAGAGACAAATCTCTTTTAAAAAAAGGACATTTCAGAAGTTACCTCCTCCTCTTTGGTTTATTTAAAGCTCTGATCTTTGACGATGAAGTGCATGGGATCATTTTATGTGACTTGTGGCCCCGTTTTTCTTTTTTTTTACAACATTTGATCTTTTATTTAAAATGTTTCAAGAAGGAAAAGCAGTAGAATTTAACACATTTCATAGATATTATCTAAAATTAGTTTCTAGTGCCTTCAACCCGTCTCATTATTGAATTGACTAAAGTGCCTCCCGTTACAACAGAAGACAAAGAGCTTACAATGTGCAGCTTAACTTCTCCTGCCATAAAGATGCACTACTCCCTGCACATCTGGAAACAAGAGGGTTCGATGTAGACAATGAAAATATTCCTTATTCCCGGGCCAGATGTATCTGACTCCTGGTTGATGACACACGGTTCAGTCCACGTCTAACGGAACAGATCATTTCAGATCAGGAGGTTTGAAAAGAAAAGTTTCCTCACATCTGCTTTGAGATTCTTAGATTCCCGTTTCTCTCGTTCAGTATTATCATCGTGACCATCACACTTCACACAACCTTCATCATTTCAGCTGCTGCTTCTGTCAAACTGGTCGAGTCAGCTGCTGGATTAGCTGTTGTAGCTGACGACATATTGACACGTGTCAGTTTTTCTCTGTTCGGTTCGGTCGCTAGCTGCGCAGGGATTTATTTCATTATTGATTTAACAGAAGTTAAACACATAAAAGTCTTGACAAGGTTTTAGCTGTTTGATTGAAATCCTCATCTGTTTAATCTGGTTTGGATCGACGCGGTTCAGAAGCTCGTTCAGGATCCTGACTGCTGTGTTTACTTCTCATGGACACAGACACGGCTTGAAACTAGGAATGGAAGTTTTATTTGGAAAGTTTTGGAGATTGTGCAGATGATGCTGGGGACTATTTTCAGTGGTGGATGGATTTGGAGCAGCAGCGAGTGACGAAGGAACGTGATGTTCACAGAATCTGTGAAAAGGACAGAAGACGTTTCAGTTTGTTTCACTCTGACGAGAAGAAAATGTTTTGAAATGTCTCCAGATTTATATTTTAACGTTCAATATTGCCAGTTGCAAAAACTATCTTGAGGACGTGTCCTCAGTGTCCTAGGTGTCCTAGGTGTCCTCAGCACAACTAAATTTCAGACGGACTCGGATCTGCAGCGTAATCAGCAGCAGCTTCTCCTCCTCACGCTGCCGGAGGCGACTGTGAGCTGAGCTGAACAGCGCCCCCTGGCTGCTCTCATCACTGCCGCTCTCTGATTACTGGGACCAATAGCCTCTGCTGAACATTAGATCTCCTCTTTTTAGAATCACCTGGACACACGTTGATGTGTGTTTGTTCTGTGGTGTGTCCACGTCACTGCTGCTTCGTCTCAGAAAGAGCTGCAGTGTTTCTGACTCACGTCGTCCTGCAGCTCAGCGATGGGAGGTTTAAGAAATTATATAACAATCGATGGTTTGAAGAGTGAGGGTGCTGCTGTGAGCAGAGTTGTGACGGACGTGAGAGTCTCCTCTGCAGAGCTGCTGAACATCACCACAGACATTAGTCACTCTACACGCCTGCAAAATGGCGCTGCTGCTGCTGCTGTGTTGTTCTGAGAGCGGAGCACATGTCTGTGTGAGGGAACTGCTGAGTTTCCTGTGGACGACGAGACGCTAACAACACGACGGAGTCGATGACCCTGAAGCTTCTGAAACCATCAGTGCTCACTGATGTGAACTGAAGGAATCCAGATCAAATGTGCTTAACGTCTCACATTTCCACTTTGTGCAAATCACTGAGAGTGAAGCTGAAGTGTTCGTCCTTCATCTTCCACATTCTGATTCACCTCTGACTTCTCCAAACTCAATGAGGGTTTTGTTGACAGCTGAGGACGACGTCTTTATTTGTTTTTCTCTCCGTGTTTCTCAACGTTAACCACGTTCTGATTCATGTAACCATGGAATCAAACATCCGGTAAATCCGGAGATTCTACTTGAACCCAAACGACGATCTCACCCTGAACAAACAGTTCGATCTGAAGAAACGTGACCAAACAACGATGTTTGAGTTTAATGAGTCTCAGGACAAACGACCCACGTTGTTCAGGTCGGACGACTTGTTCAAATTAAGACTAAAACACATTTTGAGTTTAAATGAGGAGTTTGAATGAATCAGCTTGAGTTGTGGGATTTAAATAAGAATCTGCAGTTTGTCTCATTCAGAGTAGAAGCAGCTGCTGCAGCTCAGATAAACTGAATTCATCAGACTTTCAGGTTTTATACTTGGAACGTTTCCTCGCAGCTTCGGAGCCGAACCTCATCTGAGAGGATCCGTGCGTCTCCTCTTAAACTGACCTGAGAGCAGCTCGATCAGCTGCTTCCACTCACACTGATGAGACCCGGTGTGACGACGTCATCGGCAGCTCCTGTGGAATCTGTGACACCTCCATCGTTCACATTAGAACATTCAGTGACGTCACGTCTGAACGACTTCAACGCACACGCGTCGTCTGAAGACTGGTTGCTATGGTTACCTGCAGTTTGATTCCCATTATGTGTCAAAGTCTGTGATGACGAATCGATTTGAACCATAAATTAGATTAAAGATAAAGATTCGACTTTAAACCCTGAATATTAAGTGAACATACAAAAATCACTTTGTTGCTGAAATGTAATGAATCAGTGATAAAAAGTTTTAAAGGCTCGATCGTAATTTGTGTTGTTCATTTTCTTGACTGCACAAATTATGAACTAGTTTGGGAAAATGACTTTTTTCTCAAGATCGTGATTTGAGTGTTTGCAGCTTTGTGAAACACCAGTGAGCGTCCACATTCAGCTCAGCTGGGACGTTTCCACCGGTTGTGTTTTCAGTGCGTGTGAGAATCAGCTGTGTGTCATCAACCTGTTGATCTCAGGCCCGTTTTACAAACTGCTGTTGAACGTGTGATGAAAAAAATCCCTTTAATCAAAGTCTGATGAAAAAAAGAAGCAAACACAGGTGCTACGTGTTAAACATGTTCCACAGGAGAGAACAATTAGAAACTTCACATGGAAATTAAATTCAATCTCTATATTTTCTTGACAACTCTTTTAAAATTAGTGATTCAGTTCAACATCAGGGTAGTCGGTCGTCTTGTGGTTTTAATTTCTGTTTGTTCACATTCGTGGTGTTTTTGCCGTCGAACACTGAAGGGACCAAATAATGTTTTCATCAGAGCAGCTCAACGGACGAAGATTCACACAACAAGAAGCGTTTTGTCGATCGAGGTCGTTTCTTTTTCAGAAAATCATTTAGTTTGATGTGCAGCAAAGAGGGAAATCACTGGCCCTTTCAAATTAAAGTCCGGGAATGTGTATTTACACAGATTCTTATCATTTTACAAGCTTTTAACTGCCAAGTGTAAACTGCTGAATAAACCGATCATGTGATTTTAATCCGCTGCATATCAACCAGTTCTCCTACATGTGTTCTGTTCACAGGAAATTTGGAAAATCATTCTGATCGATGTAGAGTTGAAGTTCCTTAAAGCTGCATTAGTAGATTTCAGTCTCTTTGAAAATGTGAGCGAACGTGTCACTGGAAGAACCAGGTGATCGCTTAAACTGATCAGTTGTTAACGAAGGAAAGGAAAAAATATTATGCAGCTTTAACTTTCAACAGCTTTTTCTTTCAGAAACAAAGAAACTCTGCTTCGTGTTTTTAAACTGTCACACCTCTGATGATGATGATGATGATGATGATGATGATGATGATGCACAGACGAATTTCAGGTATGAAAATAGTCTCGAGGTGCAAAGAGAACGTCTCATCGTGTTTTCTGTCAACGTTGGAGACAAAGTGCACGAGTGACACGATGGTATCATTCAAACACATGAATGCTGCTCAGATAGTTTTGCTCACGCAGACGTTAGCGTCAGTATTATCGTTGCTTCACTGTTTCTCTCAGAACAACGTTTTTTTAGCCGGTCTATTTTTAGCCGGAGGTTTATTTTGGGACTCGTTCGGTTCAGTTAAGTTCGTCTGTTCCCTCTCGTCCCGACTCACAGTGAGAAGCCAAAGTCTCGTCCTGACCACGACGATGAAACAAGAAAAGAGAATAAATGAATATGTAGAAAATGAAATGTGCTCATCACTGAGTCGCTCACTTCGCAGTACGTCCACTCTCTTTCTCTGAATTTGTTTTTGCTGCAGTACGCAGTGTCTGTCATCTGTTGGTGAGGCATCATCGTCTGTAACCTATGCAAGGTTAGTCGACAAGTTATGTCCATTCTGACGTCATCATATTACAACAGTTTCAATAAATTTTGAAAGATACGACTCTGCTGTTTGTTGATTATTGAAGGTTCAAGGAGCTTAATGTGCTTTTAGCTCAAATGTGTTATAACTCAAATGTTTTCATGCTCTAATCTAACATGTCCTCACACTGTCCATCGCTGCAGCTCCTCTTTCAGCCTCTGTCTCACTTGAGTTTAGCTCCTGTGTCGACAGACGTCGAGCAGGTTACAAACGTCAGCAGAAGATTCACATTTTCCTCTTAATTAGAAGCAGAAACGCTTCAGGACGACACAAAGTCGAAGTCCAGGAGCAAACAGACGCTGGAGCACAACAGCAGCACGTGTAAATGTGACCTTACTAAAATAGTCTGGCATGTGAAGCAGCTCAGAGTGTCAGGACACGACAACACTACCACTGACACACGACAGCAGCTCAACAGACACAGTGTGGAAATTTAAATATATAGCTTCTGAAGAACTCATTAATGATTCTTCAAGCTTCACAAACACCGTCAATTATTCAGAAACGGAGTCGTCCTCAACACGTCCCTGTTCAATGAGGAGGAAGAAGAGAAATCACAAGAGTAGAAGAAGAAGAAGAAGAAGAGGAAGAAGAAGAAGAGTGTTTTCAGGTGAGTCAGAGGACGGAGGATGTTTCTGATATGAAGCAGTGACCTCAGTGAGGGGCTCGTTCTCCAGGACCCTCGGTCTCTGGATCTGGCCGAGGCAGCTGCAGTGCTGCAGCGCGAGGCCTCTCAGTGTCAGTGTTGTTGTGCAGCTCTCGAATCTGTCGAAGCTGTTTCTGTCGTATTCTTAGCTCAGTGGAGAATCTGCCGTGTGACTCAGTGTGTCCTCTGCAGCCCACAGACTCTGCAGCACCATGAGACTCAGCGTCCAGCGCCGCTGCTTCTCCCCGTGTGGAGACTGCATCACGCTTTTACAGACCGAAGCTGCACACGTATGAGCTGCAGCAGCGTCACGCCTCAGTGTTTTCTTTGTTGCACATGTTGCACGGTATTTTTTTCTCATGCACGTATGATGGCTGTTCTCACTTCTCTCCTCAGCGTCTCCGCTGCACCTGAATCCTGATGATTGTCCTGGTTTGTGTGTGTGAATCTCAGCGAGGCTGCGGCAGCACTGCAGCGCTACAGCACATGTGAGTGAGACGAGCTGTTTCTGTGGAGACTCATGAGAGAGGCAGCCCAGGGCCGAGAGCAGGTCGGGTGAGTGTGGGCGGACGAGGAACAACGCAACAGAGAGAAAGAACAGGAAACAGGAAGAGGACGAGATGCTGTTCAGATCTGCACTGAAGTCCTGACATGTTCCTCACATGTTCCATACATGTTCCTGATATGTTCTGAGGGTCTATGTGTGAGAACATGTCTCACGCTTGTGTGTGTGTTGTTCACTGCTCAGCGACACCTCCTGAGGCTCACAGGGTTCAGGTGGATGCATCATTGGCATCACAAGCTGCCAACGCCCACTTCACCCGCCCACGTGCACGGCCTCATCCTCCATCTCTCTCGTACAGTCTAACCTCGCGGCCCGGCCGTCTCCTCGAGTTTCATTTTCCACTGCAGCGTTCCAACTCTTACCTGAGTCCACGCATTCAGGCAGAGAGGAGGCGAGACGGGGGCGGTGGGACCGGCCCGGGCGTCACCAGACAGCAGAGAACAAGCAGGAGGCTCATTGGGTTTCATCGCTTCCTCCGGAGCTCTGAGCGCCGACGCCAGCGTCCACGTGGACTCACAGCGTGAAGAGGCCAAAGATCAGAGGGGGGGAGGGGACGGAGAGAGGACGAGCAGGAACAGTTTTATCTAAAGTACATTTTAATAATAATTTACTGGTGTTATTAACGATAACAGCGGCGACGACGACGGCACCCGTTCATAACACGACGCCATTAAACTTTTCAGAACCACAGACTGAAAATAAAGATGGACGACACGTCTCCTCTTCCTCACGCTGAAATTCAAATCATACTGTCAAAATAAAAGCAGCAGAATTGACTGTGATCAGCTCCTGTTCTTTCAAAATAAAAGCAGCTGAACTGACTGTGATCAGCTCCTGTTCTTTCAAAATAAAAGCAGCTGAACTGACTGTGATCAGCTTCTGTT